GGCCCGTGCAATCCCCCTGGCGGCTCCCCCGTGGAGTGCTGAAATCGGCGCCTCGCCTGAGACATCCTCAAACACTGCTTCGGAAGCAAGACATATTGGGCGCACACACACACAAGCACACCGCCTGAGACATTCACATCATCTGGGCGCCACCGGGCCCGTGCAATACCTCCTGACGGCTCCCCCTTGGAATGCTGAAATCAGCGCCTCGCCTGGGACATCCTCACACACTGCTATGAGCATCCTCTGAATCAGCATCATCATCAGCAGCAGCAGCATCCTCATCGTCATCGTCATCGTCATCATCATCATCATCATCATCATCATCATCATCATCATCATCATCATCATCATCATCATCATCATCATCATCATCATCATCATCATCATCATGGCCATCATCATCATCATCATCATCATCATCGTCATCATCATCATCAGCATCATCTGCATCATCATTATCATCAGTATCATCACCATCATCAGCAGCATCATCAGCATTCTCATCATCATAATCACCAGCAACACCATCATCAACATCAACATCATCAGCATCATCACCACCACCACCGTCATCCTGTTGCCATCGTCTGCATCATCATCATCATCATCATCATCATCATCATCATCATCATATGCATCATCATCGGCATCATGGTGATGCCGATGATGATTCATATGATGTCGATGATGCCGATGCTGCCGATGATGATGCCGATGATGCCGATGGTGATGATGATGCCGCATCATCATCATCACCATCACCATTATCATCATCACCCGCACCATCACCACCATCGCCGTCACCATCATACTCATCATCATCATCACCATCACCATCATTACCATTGTCGTCATGATCATCATCATCAGCATCATCAACATCATCATCGACATGATCATCATTGCCATAATCAGCCTTATCACCATCATTATCATCGTCATCATCACCATCCTCCACCATCATCATCATCATCATCATCATCATCATCATCATCATCATCATCACACCATCATCATCATCACCACCATCAGCATCAGCATCATCAAACTCATTGAATCATCACAACCATGCTTCTGTCGTGAGGAAGGAGGAGGAGGTGGGAGGTGCTTGTGAGGGGTCGGCGCGGTCGGAGAAATAGCAAGAACCCCATCCTCAAGACATGGGGAACAGTTCCAACGAATTCCCACGGTTGGCTTCATGGCTGGGCCCAGCCTCCATGGTTCGGACCTCCAAGGCCACCAGATCGCCCCAGACCTCTTGGACGCCCCTGCAGAGCATCTCCTTGGACTCCTTGAACGCATGATAAGCGCCCCCCGCCTCCCACATGAGGAACTTAGACCAAGCGTACGACAATGGCCTCGCTTACAGGGCACCTGCACTTACGCACCTTCCCCACAACTGCAGAGCGTTGACATATGAGATCAATAGTTGTGAGGGCTGGGGGCGGTTTCCCGATGTTCACTTCCGGGCCTTCTGGCAAGCGACCCACAGGGCCGCCCCATCAGCCCCGAAACGGGGTGCCCCCACCGGCCTCGGAAACCCCGAGAAGCAAGGGCCCCATAGGGAAGACCTGGCCAGAGCCTGTTCCCTTCTGATTCGCGACAGCGGGCGTGATCGAGGGAAGGGGGGGGGGGGGAGGTCGTCCCCCCTGGTGAGGAAAATCCTGGAGGCCTCGCGCGGCAACTCGAGACCCGATTCACGTCGGATCCACGTCAGATGTACGTCGTGTTCACGTCGGGCTGCGTTGGATTTATGTCGGAATGACTCCGGAGCATCGCCGCGCGAGGGTCGACCCATAGCTTACGGAACTGACGTGTTGACTAGATCATACTACTATTATGCGCCGCGCGAGGCCTCCAGGATGTTGCTCGTAGACCCCCTGCCGTGTCACGGCGGGGGGGCGAAGGAAACCTCAGGGAGCCCTCGAAGAATCCGTCGGACATCTTCCTGCAGATGTGGGCAAAAGAGCGTGGCGTGACCCAGGGGGGGAGGGAAGGGAGAAGGCTACGTTGCTCCCATCGCACTTACGGACCACATCCCAGAAATGTTTTCGAGCACCCGGAACAGTGTCGAAGGAGTGTCGGGGCAGTGTCGAAACAGTGTCGGGGGAGTGTCTCCCAGGGCCCGGCACGTGAAAACCCTCGCGTTGCGGTACTTTTTTCGGTGCTCGAAATTATTCCTCTTCTGGTGCTCGAGGCTAAAGTAGGTTAGGGACATCAGAAGGTCGGGAGCGGCCAAGAGGGGGGTGTCCAAGAGGGGGGGGGGTACAAATCATGACCGGCGGCATGTGCGCGGCCCAGCGGGGAGGCCAGGGACGTAATGAAATAAGAAGAGGCGCCATAAAATCTGGGGAAATATCCCCCCTAGTCATCACCCCCCCCCTGGTCATCACCCCCCTCTTTGCCGCCCCCGAGAAGGGGAGGGCCGATCACGGCCGTTGCCGCCCAGGCCTCCCCAACAAGCAGGCTGCACGGGCGCCCCCCCCCCCCTGGGGCACCTCAGTGCGACACGCCGAGCCGACCCGACCCTCCGCGCCGCGGGCAGCCCGCCGCGCGCCGAGAGGGCGCCCCCCCCCCCCCCCCCCCCCCGTAACTCTGGGATGGAGAGACCCCCCTTTAGTAAAACGTGGTTTAGTGAAAACGACCTGAGGCCCAAACCTGGCGGGCGCGAGCCTGGGAGAGTAACGGCCACGGCGCCCTCTCGAGAACCGAAAACGGACAATTCACGACTCGACGTGCCACTGTTGGGGGTTCTGTCCACCCCCGACTAACCCCGCACGGTGCGGTGCGCGCCGACGTCACGAGGCGGGGCCCCCGTCGGGGGGGGGGGGGCGACCCCCCCCCCAAAGACTCAGCCCAGGACGAGGACAGAATCAGGCGGTGGCGGGTCGAGAATCTCCGGAAGCCGGCGGCTCTGGAGGAAGTCTCGGGCGCCGCGGCCTTCTCAGAGCGTTCCTGAACGCTCCGAGAGCGATCGGGAACGCTCTGGAACAGATTTATCTTCGTCCTAGCCACGTCCGACTCCCACCCACCATGCGGTGGAGGCGCTGGACAAAAGGAGCCCTGTGGACACACATCGAGGCTTGGCCACGGATGTCACCACCGCCCTCATCGAGGAAACCTCCAGGGTCTGAAGCCTCCTGGGCATGCGTCGAACGCGCCCAAGTCGACGAACTCTGCACCGCGGCAAGCCTACGGCAAACCTTGCGTCCGAGGCGGAGTTAGCCCTGGTGGTCGAGGCGCCCTCTCAAAAGACGGAAGGCCGCACATCGGAACAAACGGCGCGCCGACATAGATTCCTCAACGAACGTCCACACCGTGTTGCCAGATGCAGCGCATCGGGGAGAAGTATGGCTCGGGATCGGGGGACTCGGGTTGGCCTGACGGGGCCGTCAGGGACATGACGAGACCCAGCCTGAAATCTGACGCGAACTCCCGCTGCAAACATCCCACGAGCACCAGGCCAGAACGGGCTCGTCAAAAAGCGTCGGCCAATCCAAGTTCCGACGGAGATGTTGCGACAACGAAGGAGGAGGAAGCAGTGGAGGAGGAAGAGGTGGAAGAAGACGAGGAGGAGGAAGAGGAAGAGGAGACTTCAACGACGTAGGTACTGCGAGGCCCGCTCGCTTCAGTGATCCAGAAGATAAGCCGCCCGCTGAAGCGCTGCGACCCCTCCTGGACGGTGGAGTTGTGCTCGTCGTCCACCGTCGCAGTCGGAATCTTAACGTCCTCTGTCGGACGCGAGGAGGGCAAGACGGGAAGGGAGGGGCAGGGGGGGGGGGCGTCGTATTCTCTGGGTGGGATATTGATCGAGGGGTGGGCGACTAACCTTCTGACGGGGCTTGTCCATCCCTCCCCTCCGGCACCCCCTCCTCCTTCTCCTCCTCCTCCCCCAAGCCCCCCTCACCCGTTCCGACAGCATGTGCCCAACCCCCCCAGCGGATCCAAGAGGGGGGCGATTCTTGCACCATCCAGGGTAACCGATCTATCCCCACCGGAATGGACTTGGCCCAGCCGACAGATCTACCTAGGTGGGGCCATATATACTCCCGGGTCGAGGGTTCACTCCCCCTCCCCCCCGATGGAATGGGTGCCAGGGCCCTACTGGCCAACCCCCCACTCCAGTGGGATGGGCGGGGAGCGACGACAACGACGACGACGACGACGACGACGACGACGACAACGATGACGACGACGACCACGAGGACGACGATGACGACGACAATAACGACAACGACGACGACGACGACGACGACGACGACGACGACGACGACGACAACGCGACGACGACCACGAGGACGACGCCGACGACGTAGCACACCCCACACCCACAGGTGGATGGGGGGGCACCGGCACCTGGCACCCTCCACCATCCCACGCCCACAGAGGGTGGAGGTCCACCACGCCACGCGCACAGGGGGGGGACCCATCGCGCCTGGGGGGGGGAATGCATCATCAGCCTGATGGGGGGGTCTCCAGAGCCCTGAATCCTAAATGATCCGGGGGTCAGCTCCACCAACCCCCCACGCTACTGGATGCTAATGGGATCGGTCCACCCCGCCCGCTGGATGGGTACCCCCGTGAGCCTCGCGAAGGCCTCGCGAATGAGCTCGCCCCCCCCCCCCCCCAGTTGTGGTCATGGCCCTGTGGGCGTAGCGTGGTGGTGGAATGCCAGGATGCCAGTGCCCCCCGTCGTCGTCGCCTTCCATCGTCGTGGCCGTCGTCGTCGTCGTCGTCGTTATCGTAGGGGTCGTCGTCTTCCGTCGTCGTCGTCGTCGTCGTCGTCGTCGACGTCGTCGTCTTCCGTTGTCGTCGTCGTCGTGGTCTTCCCCCCCCCAGCCCATGTTAGGGGGGGGGGCCGTGTGGAACTCTGGGGCCCATCCCGTCTTGGGGGAGGGCCTGCGAACCCTCGACCCAGGATCAAATATGATCCAGGGTAGCCCCCCCCCTGGCCCACTTCTAATGGGATCGATCCCTCCGCCCAGCTGGATGGGTACGCCCGTGAGCCTCGCGAAGGCCTCGCGAGTCGAACCCCTCCCTGCCTGCTGAAGTCGTCGCCCTGCGGGCCCGTGAGCCTCGCGAAGGCCTCGCGAATCGACCCCCCTCCTGCTGAAGTCGTAGCCCTGCGGGCGTGGGTGCCGGTGCCGCCCCTCCCCCTGTGGGGTGGTGCTGCGGTACTGTCGTCGTCGTCGTCGTCGTCGTCGTCGTCGCGGTCGCCGTCGTCGTCGTCGTCCCCCCCGATCCCATCTGGGGCGTGGGCTGTGGAACCCTGGGTCCCATTCTATCTCGGGAGCGGCCAAGAGGGGGTTGTCCAAGAGGGGGGGGCGCAAGTCATGACCGGCGGCACGTGCGCGGCCCAGCGGGGGGGCCAGGGACGTAGTGAAATAAGAAGACGCGCCATAAAATCTGGGGAAATATCATGACCCCCGCCATGATATCCACCCCCCTAGTCATCACCCCCTCTTTTCCGCCCCCGATCCATCGGGGGGAGGAGGGCGGCCGACCCGGGATCATGTATGCCTCTTCCTCCGTGTTCCGCGGAGCCGCTCCTCACCCAGGAGGGTGGGCTGGCTGGGAGTCCAGGGTTTCCCCTCAGCATCGGTTGTAGCACCCCAGAATGTATTGCACGCCTGCACGCCCCAAAGCTAGACCCCGCAAATCTATTGCACTAGCTATATTGCAGCACCCGCTTTTCGCTGGACCCTCTTGTGGGCCAACCAGATACTAAGAACACAGGCCCAGACCCTTCGAGCCATTGTAAAAATCACGGCGGGGGCGGTGCTTCGCTATAGCTTCGGCCTGTGGGGGCCCTCACCGGGCCTCTGGACGGTCAGAAAACGACTCGGGACAAAAAGAACCCTCCCTGGTGATGGGGTCGAGACCTCTGGGGGGCGACGTTGTAAAACAAAACAAAAAAAAACATGACGCCAGGGGTCATGGGAAGGGAGGCGGGTCCTGACCCCGGGGGCGCTCTCCGAGCGCCGTCGTCTCGACGGCCCTGGGCCCGAGAACGCCGACCGAAGCTCCAGGGCCAGTTTCCCTCGGGAACCCCTTCCTCCATTAGAGGCCTCTGAGAATGGGGTTCGAGCACATGGGCGTCGGAGGCTCGCGCCGAATCGCCGATATGTTGCATATGTTACATCAGCAACGTCGGCTACGAATCGGCGCCGTCGGCGTGGAGATAGTCGGGCTCCACATCGAGCCGCATCGCCAATGCATCTGCGCTGCGGCGCGATCCTCCGATATCTCCTCTGGGGAAGCCCCGAAAAACGGTACCGCTACTCCACAGGCCTCTCCAGGGTGCCTTCTGACCAACATCTCGAGGCGAATCTGGCGGTGGCGACGCGGGGCTCCCAGGAATCCCAAACCCGAGAAAACGGCATCGGCACCTTATCCCCTCTGTTGCAATGCGGCGCGAGCGATCCTCCAGTATCTGCTCGGGGCCAATCTGGGAGGCCTGGACGCATGGCGACTGCTACTCTTCAGTCTCAGGAGACCCGCCTCGACCTTTCCGACTGAGGGGGGACGATCGGGCGGGGGGGGGGGCCGGGGGGCGACATCGAGCTCGAATCGGCGATGCATCGCCGATGCCTCGGCCATGGGCCCGCGATCACGAAGACGCAAAGCCCTGGGCGATGGAGGCTGGATCCCATCGGCGATGAATGGGCGATTGAGGCTGGATGCATTCCCCCCTGGACCTGTGCCCCCCCTGCCGCTGCCCCTGACCGATGTCTCCCTGGTAGCTTTCAGGTCATGACTCGGACCCGCGGCGGCCGTTCGGGACGATCCAGACACCCGGAACGCTCTTTGCGAGACGCAGCTGCTGAACCGCATCCCGAGGCTGGAACACCGCGGAGTAACCGAGAAAACGACAGAAAACCTGGAACCTCGACGTCGAAATCGCTGACCCGCACGCTGCCCGCCCCCTCCCCCTAGCGTGGCCCCCGATCTCTGGAACTCCGCACCCCGGTCCTTCGGGCCAGCAGGCGCTGCTGCCGGCATCAGGGGGTGGCGCTCTGGCTCTTCGTAGAGGCTGGGCCGGTGGCTCGCGCGGGGGTAGGTCACGAGCACCCGAGCGCTACTGGGCCCACGCCCTGAGATCGGGGGTGTGCGTTGACGGGGGGCAACGACCATAGGGGTGTAGATAACGCGCGCTCTTCTTGTGAATCTTTTGTTGGCGGCATGCGCGGCCTGGGGAAGCCCAGCATTCTGAACAGTTTCCCAAGCCTCCCAAGAAGACGCCGACCACGTCTCACAAAAGGCCCGATGGTCTCTGAGAAGCCCCGCCGCCTCCTGAGACGACCTGTACTCCTTCCCACACATCCCCCCTTGCTCGCCACCGAAGCGTGGGTGGGGCACGGGCGGCGCCCCTGCTCGCATCCGCGCCCCCGCGGCCTGGGCTCCGGGGCGCGATCCCACGGACACGTCGCACGGGCACGCCGCGCGCGGGGCGTGCGCGAGGCAGCGCCCCGTGCCCGCGGGGTCGCGGCCCCGGGGGCCGGGGCTCCCCGTGCCGCGGGCACGGACTTGTGTGCTTCGCCCAGGAGAGGGGGAGCGCGCGGCGAACCCCGAACGCAACTGCCCCGCGCAAGTGGAGCGAGGGTAGGATCGCTCGATCTAAAGGGAAATTAGGACACACAAATAAATACACACAAATAAAAATACTCCCCATATTTTCCAATATTTTCTGGGTTTTTGTCTTCCCCCCCACTTCCCATATTTTCCCATATTTTCTGGGGAATCGACGATTAATTGTGTCTGTGTGTTTTTTCCTCTCCTGAGCATCGTCGGAAGCATCAGTCTGCAAACCGGGGGCGATGCGACGGGCCGGGAAGTCGGGCCGCACTCTGCAGCCACCAGCTCCGCACGGCCGCGGCGCCGCTGCGGGCCAGCGCGTGGCTCGATGTGGTCCCGGGGGGGGGGGAGGGCGGCGCGCAGGCGAACCTGCCGGAGCGTCCACGGCGAGGAGCACCCGAGCTCGCGGCCGCCGCCCCCAGAGGAGACGACGCCGACCGAGGGTCAAGTTGGGTCGGGCGTGTCCCCCTACAGGCGGATGTTGGACGAATGCTCCAAAATAGCCCCCCAAAACAATACACCAAACAAGTTCAAAGATACTCAGAAAATCGTCACCCGACTATTTTTTGCTATTTTTGACTACTCCTCCTGTAGAGGGACGTGCCCGCCTTAACCCCCGACGAGACCACGCCGATCGAGGGGTAAACTCGGGACAATCCCTGGGAGCGGGCGGGTCCGCAAGAGGCGGCCCCGCGGGGGGCCTCCACGAGGTGGCCTCGGCCCGGGGCGTCCTCCCCCACGCGCCTCGCGCCGAGGACGCACCCGCTGGGGTGCGCCGCAGGGCGTCGTGGCGGCTGCTCTGGCAAGATTTAAGTCGGGCATGCCTACAGGGGGATTCTGGACGAAAAATGAAACATACCCAAACAATACTCCCAAATGGTCCAAGATAGTCCATACTCCTCTTGTAGAGGGACAGGCCCGACCCTAAGGCAAGATCAGTCAGTATCGACTCGGGGAACTGGATTCGGTCGACATGCGCACCGGATCAGGCTGCATCGGCGCGGGATCGACGCCGACTCGGGTCGGCTGCGCCAGGATGCGCCAGGATGCGGCAGGTGACCGCAGCGGGCCGCATCGGACACTCGGGGCATCGAGAAATGGTATCGGATCGGATGGGCCGACACTGATGTTAAGTCGGGCCTGTCCCCCTACAGGGGGATGTTCGACGAAACAAATATCCCAAACATAATCCAAAAATAGTGCAAAAAAATAGTCCGGGGACTATTGTTTGAACATTGTTTGACCTTTTTGGGCTATTTAGGGGGTATTTTTATTTGTCGTCGAAAAAATCCCCCTGTAGGGGGACACGCCCGGCATAACACTGGTAACGAATCGAATCTCGGTCGGATCGTACGTTGGCCCTCTTTCGTGAGCGGGGAGTGCGCCAACGTGAGCTTCCATGAAACGTGTGAGGGTGTGCCAAATCGTGTGCGGGTATGTGATGCGGCTACGAATCGTGTGAGGGGTGTGCCGAAATGGGTGTGGTGGCGCCATGCGTAATCTGCCACTGGGGCCACGAAACGTGTGAGGGGTGTGCCGAAATTGGTGCGGTGACGCCATGTGGATCCTGCCATTGGGGCTCTTCGGTGGTGCACGAAACGTGTGAGGTGTTGATATGGGCACGGTGGCGCTATGCGGAGCCTGCCACTGGGGCCTTCGGTGGAGCTAGCTCTTTCACCGCAAAACGCGTGAGGGGTGTACCGAAATTCGCGCGGCCACGCTATGAGGACCCTGCCACTGGGGCCCTCGGTGGAGCTCCGTATTGGGCGACGAAACGTGAAGGGTGCCGAAATTGAGATGGGAGGGCTGAGGCAGGAACGGGAGGCCGATGGTGATGGTGATGATGATGATGATGATGATGATGATCATGATCATGATGATGATGATGATGATGATGATGATGATGATGATGATGACGATGATGATGATGATGATGATGATGATGATGATGATGATGATGATGATGATGATGATGATGATGATGATGATGATGACGATGGTGGCTATGATGACGATGCAGACGTGCGAAGGGCAGAGGCAGGGATGGGAGGAGGGGGGAGGAAGAGGAAGGAGTGAGGAACGCGGGGCGCTGTCGTCAAAACGAAGACCCGACACCACAAGATGGTTCGGAAAAACAGGGTGCGAACCCCGAGGGGGAAACTTTAATTGAAGAACCAAATATGTGCACCAATGATGGGGGGATGAACAATAGTTTCTTTTCAAGACTGCGGATACGTCCCACCATGTTCTTCAATTTCACGCTCTCGCGCCGGACGTCCTCACAATTGATCCGGGAATTGCGCTCACGCGTGGGACTTCACCCCGATTGATTGAGACGCCTCGCCCCACAATCACGAATCACGCTGTCGCTCTCGATTTCCTCACGATATGCTTGGGAATTCAAATGTCGCTGGAAATTTCCTCGCGATTCATGCAAGACGGACGTTTCAGCGCCCCGCCCGCTCCACCCGGCCGTTTGGACCCGCCTGCTCGACCTGCCCGTTAGGGTCCGACCGTCCGACCCGCGTGTGTGGTTTTGCCAGTTGTTTTCATGCTCCTCGCCCCCATGTGCTAATCTTTCTCGTGCTCCATCCTTCTCCCTCTCCGTTGTTCCTTCCCTCCTCCCTCCCTTCCACTGTTTTAGGGTTGCGCGCAAATAAAACGTGGCAAGTAAAGAAGATATACACCGAAATGGGGCACGATCGAAGACAAGGAGGCCGTGTATCGAAGGCTTGGGATTTACATGTTGACTGACACGCGAACAAAGAACAACGAACACTTCTATAATGGTTGATATTGTTTTTGGTGTTGTTTTCGTCGCCGTCGTCCTCGCCCGCGACCCGCCCGCAACCCACCCACGACCCACCCGTGACACCCCGCGACCACAACCCAACGACCCACGCGCAACCCACCCGTTGCCCAGCCACGTCGCTTTGAAGAAAAATTTGGCGCCTGCGGCGGGCTCACAACGTATTGTGTTGAAAAAATATCGGTGCCTGCAGCGGGCTTCTTCAGAGCCTCACAGTCTCTGCCGGCGACGACCCCGCCCCACCATCACGCTTATATGCGCCACTGCGGGGGGAGCGGGCGGAGAATCTCGATCTCGGCGTTGTTTGGAAGGCCACAGCGGGGAACACGAAAGTTGGGGACCACGCGGGGGCCCAAGATCTGGCCGAGGTCGGCGCGATTCTCCGAAACGCCGACCGGAGCATCCCCACACTGATTTCTATGTGCCGATCTCTCCGCCTGCGCGGAATATCCGCCACTTTGCCCTGAGGCACGAGCTGGAGCGTCCGCGGGTCCTTGGCCTTAGACCTGAATCTTCAGTCTTCCACCCCGAAGATTCTTCGAAGGGCCAGACCCCGAACTCCGAGATCTCCCAAGGTTTGTCGCGCGCCCTCGAGGCGGTGACGCTTGACCCTGGCCATCGCCCAAGCGTCCGTTGCCCGTGCGTTTCTCGACTCCGACCAGCTCGTGTGAAAGGGGCCACGGAGGACCCCACTGCTTGCAGTTTCCTCGCGATGGTCCAGGATGCTCCTCGCTGGTCGTCGCCGAGAAAAACAAGTGCACGCGTCCGAACGATGTCAGGGACTTGTGCGACCTCGTCGCCCGAATTTTCATCTCTGAGTGACCCCCCCCATGGAGCCACCGTGCTGGGGCCGAAAAACCACATGCCCATCAGCGCGGCCACCGCCAGCGGCACGGCCTGCGGGGAAGCAGCCCAAACATCCGATGCGCCGTGGCACGTCTGCTCCGCAGCGGGAGAGGGGGCCTCAGATGAGCGAGGATGACCTCCGGGGAAGAGGACGAGGATGATAAGAAGGACGTGGAGGAAGAGGAGGATGATGTTTTTATCCAGCGCAGTACACGCGCGACGCTCCATCATCCATAGTCCTTGCCAGGGCGCGCCGCCAGGCGGGCACGCGCCCAATTGGAGAGGGAGGAGGAGGAGGCAGCAGCAGAGGGAGGAGGGAAGAGGAGAATACTGGCTGACGAACGTCAGCACCTGCTCAAGCTTCACACTCCTCGCGAGGACACCGCAGCACCTCGCGCGCGGGAGCGTCGCCGCGGGGCCGCCCGCCCACGGAGGTGGCGAGAGGGCACGACCGCAGGGCGGGGGGGCGCACTGGACACAGCGTCTCCAGGGGAATTGTTGCCGACCAGAGCAGGCCTCATCATCAAGCTTGCTATCACTGAGCAGCTCTAGATCATACAAAGCCGGACCAATCGCCTTACACGTGACCAGGACACGATTCACAGTCTCAAGCCCACTGGTTCAAGAGAAATCCCAATGCCACGATGCTGGGTAATCATACGATGATTTAGCGCCTGCCTAGGTCCTGCCGATCATATCTGCACAGTCGCCCGATACTGCCTAGCCACCTCGAGAGTGATACAAGCCGAGTGGAGCCGATCCTGAAAGACAACCGAATAGTAGTCGGTGGCCCCAAGGACAGAAACCCAAGATGGCGCACCCTCTGCCAACATCAAAACTTAAGATGATCTCCGGCCACGCAACTGTGTGAGCGGTCGGCCCGATCGAGACACCGAGGCGTAACACGTGGGTCTCGAATTTGATCGCATGGAGTCGACTCCCCTTCTTCCTCGTGTGCTCAGAAAGGCGCACGCAAGACAATGTCCCGCAGACGGGCACACAGCACTTGCCAATATTCAGCGAGAGACCGATGGCAGAGGAAAGCTGGCCAACCACTAGAAGCGGGGGCATCATATCGACAAGGATCTTCTGCCGCCCAGAGCAGCAGCCATCGGCATATGCAAGTTCCAAGTTAAGCTCAGAATCCCGCAGATACTGGATCCATCTCGGCGAGAAGGAGGAGGAGGACGATCAGGAAGGAGGAAGTGGAGGAGAAGGGGCGGATGGTTCAGTATCCCCCTGCTACCAGCGGCTGCCTGCTCAACTACACGCCCTCAAGTGTACCTGATATTCGACCATCCCTTTCTGTACCTTTCGCACCCGCACTGGCAGCCGCCTCAATATTTGTTCCCACGTGCCAAAATCGGCGTATTCACTTTCGTCTCTCGAGGGATGCAACGAGCCTGGCCTTCATGCCCGCCCATTGCAAAAAGGCGGGGAGGCGGAGGGCAAGATCTGGGCAGCTGCTGTCTGCCGCTGTGAAGGCTCACCTCTTCTGGGTGAGTGCTCTAGCCACGGCACATTGCTGCTGGCAACTTCAACGCACTCTCAGGCAAGCCTGCGGGACCACATGGCCCATCTCGGACTCTGATTACACGTTGCAAGACGGTTATTGTTCGCGGGCCGCACCTCCGCGCTCAATGTCAGGGGGAGTGGGTGCCCATCCAAAGTCGGTGTCCATGAGGGGCGGGTTCCCCCGGGGAAGTGGGCGGCCGGCAACGCTCTTGCGGTTTCTGGGGGGGGGGGGACGCTGGGACCCTAGGGGCGCCATGGGTCCTATCTGGTCGGTGTCCAGGAGGCGCGGGTTCCCTCGAGGAAGTGGACGGCCGATAACGTTGCTTTGGTTTCTGGGTGAGGGCACGCTGGTAACCTACAACCCTCGTCAAAATTAACCTCAAAAATGTCAGACGTGGTTGAACTGCTTGTCGGAAGATCTGGGGCCGAGTATCGATGAGTGCGGGGTACTTGCATGCGCCGCCCCTCCAATGTCGGTCGACGTCAAACTTTCGAGTCAACTTCGGTCAGACTATCTTTGCCCTCGCCCCGACATTGAAAGGGCGGCGTGTCGACATTGAGGGGCGCGCCGAAATCGAAATGACGTGCCAGCAGCCAACAACTGTTGAGATTAATGTTGACGAGGGTAGTAGGGTGTGCTCTCCTCGTGAGCCTCGCCTTCCCGCTGGCGTCAACTAAGGACAGGCCTCACTATTTCTCCGGCCCGATGATGCGCTGGTGTTGTCTGCGGGCCCCCGCTTGCAAGTGCACGCGTCGCGGCACGTTCTTTGCCAGAGACAGCGCGTGCAGCTCATGCGCCACATCCTCACAGGTCCATGGTTTATCGGGCCGGGCGAAAGGGGGGGATAGCAAAGGGGGGGGCTGAGAATCAGCTCACGTAGCTGATTTTCCCGGCGCCTCCCGGCGCCAGAGGCGGCTACGTATCGAGGAATGGGCCCCTCGGTGGGGCCGAAACCAGCTGCATGCAGCAGACTTCGTAACCCCCCCTTTCCCAATCCCCCCCTTTCGTCTGGCCCGAGTTTAGAGGGGCGCATGGTGGGAGTTGGTTGACGAGAAGGCTGCGGCACGGGAACCGCCCCTGACCTTTCCCGATGCGACCGCCCGTGTGGGATCCTCGTTCTCAGAGAGGGTTCGAGTATGCGGGGCCCCTGATGAGGAAGGAGGACAGCAGCGGGGCTGCCCTTCATCGGTCCTTGTGTGAGGGTGGCCCATATGCCTCTACTCTGTTCCCCCACGGGGTGGGGGGGGGCTACTTGTTTTGCGCAGGGAGCCCCGCCACGCTGGATCAATTGCGTGCTGGCTGTAGTGGTCGGCTGCGCGATGCTTGCACGCGGGTGGAGGTTAACCGGAGCATCGACTCAAAAGACCACCGCCCTGTGGTGGCCCATTTTGCCTGTCCGTGTTCCTGAGGCGCCCCCCTAGCTCGAGGGTGAAGCAGTACCAGAAGCGTTCCACTAAAGAAAAATGAGGGGGAGGAGGCCGTAGGCTGGAAGGTGGATATCGGGGGGCACACTCTGAGGGGTAACGGTGCCATGCCCCGTGCCGCCAAACTGTTCGCAACTGATTAACTTTCTGCCCGTGAATCCTACATATATCGGTCCTCCGTGCGGCTGATCCGCAGCAGGCGGCGCGTCCATGCGGTCGTGCGCGCAGCTAGAGCAGGGAATAGTGTGCCATCGCGTGTTTTAGCAGCCGAATGGGGTGAACGCGGTGAGGGCGCGCAGCTCGGCATCAGCTTAAATCGACAACCGTGCCTGGCTCTCGTCGCCATCCTCCAGTGCTGGTCTCACGGAACCGGGCCCACTGTCCTGAAAGAAGTCCAAGCCGCCTGGGTCGTCCTGGAGGTGACTGCCCCCCTGGCCAAGGAGGCTACGATCGAGTGTGACCGGGTGCGCCATGTTTGCTCGGTCGCGGCCGAGGATGTGGAGGCCAGTAGGGGCAAGGACCCCTCACACCGCTGGGGGGACGCAAGCGACTGCTGCGACACGGCTGGTGGACCCGAAGCAGCGCCCGGGACCGAGGTGTCTCGGGACGAGCACGGGGCCTCCAGGATCTCAGAGCCCAGGAGGCCCCGATCGCCCATCGTGGAAAATGGAAACGTCATTTGAAACACAATCATCTGAAATCATCCGATGCTGGCCAGCGTGTGCCCCTCGTGGGGTGCTTCTAGCCATCTATTGTGTGCAACCCATGTGGAACAATCTGCGTTGTCGAATCTTGGCGGTGCGATCCAAGTTGTGCATCTTCTGTTGTGCAATTGACGTTCTGCAATTTATGTGGTGCAACATATGTGGTGCAATCGACGTTGTGCAAGCTCTGTGGTGCATCTGTATGAGGTGCGCACTCTCCATTGTGCAAGCGACGTGGTGAAATCGAAATGGTCAAATATGAGTTGTGCTAAATGTGAAGGACCTATGTATATATGCATACACATATATTGATATATACATACATGTATACATGGTGCCATGTATGTCGTGCAATCGGTGGAATGCAACCAGCGCGGCACAGTCGAGTGGTTCAACCTATGTTCTGCAGTGTGTTTGATTATATGTGGTGCCTTCTATGTTGTGTCATGTATGTGGTGCTATCTGTGCTGTGCAATGAAAATGGTGCAATACATGCGGCGCAATTTGCTGCGCAATCTATGTGGCGCAATGTGTGCGTGCGTAGTGATTTGTTTCCCAACCATCCTGTGGTGTTGGGTCCTCGTTTTGAAGAGACGGTGCCCCGCGTTCCCCTCCTCCTCTCCTCTCCTCCTCTTCCCCCTCCTCCCTCCTCCCATCAGCATCATCATCATCATCATCGTCATCATCATCATCGTCATCATCATCATCATCATCATCATCATCGTCATCACCCACCATCATCGTCATCATCACCATCATCGTCACACCTCTCACACGTTTCGTGGCCCCATAGGGAGCTCCACCGAAGGCCCCAGTGCTGCCGCCCGCATGCGTCAGCCACACCCAATTCGGCACACCCCTCACACGTTTCGTGGCCCCATAGGGAGCTCCACCGAAGGCCCCAGTGCTGCCGCCCGCATGCGTCAGCCACACCCAGTTCGGCACACCCCTCACACGTTTCGTGGCCCCATAGGGAGCTCCACCAAAGGCCCCAGTGCCGCCGCCCGCATGCGTCAGCCACACCCAATTCGGCACACCCCTCACACGTTTCGTGGCCCCATAGGGAGCTCCACCGAAGGCCCCAGTGCTGCCGCCCGCATGCGTCAGCCACACCCAATTCGACACACCCCTCACACGTTTCGTGGCCCCATAGGGAGCTCCACCGAAGGCCCCAGTGCTGCCGCCCGCATGCGTCAGCCACACCCAATTCGGCACACCCCTCACACGTTTCGTGGCCCCATAGGGAGCTCCACCGATAGGGAGCCCCCGAAGTGCTGCCGCCCGCATGCGTCAGCCACACCCAATTCGGCACACCCCTCACACGTTTCGTGGCCCCATAGGGAGCTCCACCGAAGGCCCCAGTGCCGCCGCCCGCATGCGTCAGCCACACCCAATTCGGCACACCCCTCACACGTTTCGTGGCCCCATAGGGAGCTCCACCGAAGGCCCCAGTGCCGCCGCCCGCATGCGTCAGCCACACCCAATTCGGCACACCCCTCACACGCTTTCGTGGCCCCATAGGGAGCTCCACCGAAGGCCGCAGTGCCGCCGCCCGCATGCGTCAGCCACATCCAATTCGGCACACCCCTCACACGCTTCGTGGCCCCAGCCCGCATGCGTCAGCCACACCCATTTCGGCACACCCCTCACACGTTTCGTGGCCCCATAGGGAGCTCCACCGAAGGCCCCAGTGCCACCGCTCGCATGCGTCCCGCACACCAATTTCGGCACCTCCACCAAACACAGCGTTTCGTGGCCCCACAGGGACCTCCACCGAAGGCGCCAAGTGGTGCCGCCCGCATGCGTCAGCCACACCCCAGCACAGCATTTCGTGGCCCCACAGGGACCTCCACCGAAGGCCCCAGTGGTGCCGCCCGCATGCGTCACCCCCACCCCAGCACAGCATTTCGTGGCCCCACAGGGAGCTCCACCGAAGGCCCCAGTGGTGCCGCCCGCATGCGCCACCCCCACCCAGCACAGCGTTTCGTGGCCCCACAGGGAGCTCCACCGACGGCCCCAGTGGTGCCGCCCGCATGCGTCACCCCCGCCCAGTACAGCGTTTCGTGGCCCCACAGGGACCTCCACCGAAGGCCCCAGTGGTGCCGCCCGCATGCGTCACCCCCACCCAGCACAACGTTTCGTGGCCCCACAGGGAGCTCCACCGAAAGCGGCACCCGCAATGCGATATTCACAACTGCACATGGTTGGGTCCTTCGCCAGGATAATTATTTCACTGCTCGAGCAATCATCCCACCCACCCACCCGCATGTTGGTTTGCAATAAATAAGATATGGAGCGGCGACTGCGATGAGTGCTTGGAATTGGCTGGTGCATCTTTGCGGCCGCGCTGGCCCGCGCACGGTCGCGCGCGCCGCGGCCACATAGTTTGGCGCTGCATACGCGACCGCGGTGGCGCTGACCGCTAGGCACTTCCCAAAGGGCACTTCAAAAAGAATCGGCGGTATGGGCGGGCGCAATATCATGGCAACGTCGGCGCCGGTAAACGCGATGATGATGGTAGCGATGCTGGTGACGATGATGACAACGACGGCAGCAAGGTCAGTGACGGCGCCAATGCTTATCACGCCAACGACGATGACGGCGCCATCGCGTCGGCGATGCAGATTTTGGGAATTCGACATGCGCGCGCGGCCGACGCGCGAGAATGGCCCGCATGGTATTATTTGACACGGACCGCGCCCCCCCCCCCGGCACGCGCCAAAAGGCGATTTCAACGTGCGGCACACGGGGCCGAAGTTGGTGCAAATGTTGAAAACCCGATGTTTGTGGTTCGAATCCGCAGGAGCGCGGGCGGGCACAGGCTCTTTGTGAAAATCCGTGAGAAACCCTCGTTGCGAAACCAGTTCTTTATATGTGCCAGGTCGCTCGACGTTGAAATCCTTACGACGCCCAAGTTTTCTGAATGATTCAGGCATGCGAGCGCGACGATTCGCGCGCGTGCACTGCGTCGCATCTGTTGCAAGGGATTCTTGCGACAGCACGCGCGCAAGGGCGTTCTTGAGATTCCGACATGCGCGCGCGAGAGGCCCGCGTGGTGGCATGTTATGAAATGTCAACAAACCGATGGTTGCCTTAAGACTTCGCAAGAGCGCGAACGCAGATTTTTTGTTTGAGAACCCGTGTTGCGAAACCATGTGTGTTTCTATGTTTTTCGGGGCACTCGATTTTGACACCCGTAGGCAACCTAGACAGTTTTTGAAGGATTTCGGCATGCGCTCGCGACGCCGCGTGCGCGCGCGTGCACTGATTCCCACCTGTTGCAAGGGATTCTTGAAAACGGATGAGTTTCGATAAACGGGTGTGCAAGCATAGTGGTTTTGCAGAGGATGAGGGGGGTGCCCGTTTAGCTAGGATTGTGCACATCCATAGCTGGGATGGACGATGGGGCAGATTCGTATCTACATTGCAATACGAATAGGGGGTCAGTTAAGTCCAGGGGGACAGATCTAAAACTGTTTTAGAGACTATATGTCGTGCAATCTAAGTGGTGCAACTTACGTTGTGCACTCGACGAGGTGCTATCTGTATGGTGCAGTCTACGCAGTACAATCTACGTTGTGTAGTTCACGCGGCGATGAGGCGGCGGCGGCGACAACATCACCACCAGACCGACAATCAGGCCCAGACGACGGGCGGCGACGAGGCGGCGACGGCGACTAAATAGCCGCCAGACCAACGATCACAAGCACTGCTT